GAGCTGAGATCCGGCCACCACACTCCAGCCCGGGCACAGAGCAAGAGTCCGTCTCAAAAAAAAAAAAAAAAAAAAAGTTGGAAGTTTTTAAACCAAGACTGGTAGCATTAGTTTTTTGTTTTATTAGAAATTCTGTTTGGCAGATCTACTTATCTGATTACTAAAAATTAGAAAACGAAATTATTACAAGACTGCAGATTGTTTGGACATCTTTCCAAAATGGGGGAGGAGGGGTGGGGTTGGAAAAAAGTTACCTTTGATAGCAAAATGGTTAGGAACCATAGTGCCTAATGGTCCTGAATCATTTCAGATTCCTCTGGGAGTTTAAAAGGATGTACCATCTTTTTGGGAAAAAATGCACCTATGTATTAAAGATTTCTTTCTTTTTTTTTTTTTTTTTGAGATGGAGTCTTGCTCTGTCACCCAGGCTGGAGTGCAGTGGTGTGATCTCGGCTCACCACAAGCTCCACCTCCCGGGTTCACGCCATTCTCCTGACTCAGCCTCCAGAATAACTGGGACTACAGGCACCCACCACCAGAGCTGGCTAATTTTTTTGTATTTTTAGTAGAGGTAGGGTTTCACCGTATGTTAGCCAGGATGGCCTCCATCTCCTGATCTCGTGATCCACCCGCCTTGGCCTCCCAAAGTGCTGGGATTACAGGCATAAGCCACTGCGCCCAGCCGTAAAGATTTTTATATGTAATTCCAGAGGATTCAGGACTCCTGGAAGTTTATCCTGTAGTTTTTGGTGTGGAAGTGAAAAATTATGAGAGGTGATTTCTCCCACCACCAATATTTATTCATGGTGGAAGAGTATCCTTTGGATTTGTGAGCAGATTAAATGAGTTAATATGAATAAAGTGTTTAGAACAGAAAATAGCACTCCATAAGTGTTAGCTACTAAATGTTATTATCTAATAGACAGAGGGTTACTGTATACTGTTTATCCTGCCGAATAAAGTTTTCTGAGTTGTATATTGTTGGAGGAACTGTGCCTTTTTCTAATTTGTATAAAGGCGTCATGTGAAATAGCAACTTCCCTACACACAAATTCATGCCTTCAGAGAGTATGCTAAGATAAACCCTCTTTTGTACAATCATTAGGTAGGCTTCTTTTTACCTCATTTCTATGAAGAGATGGCTTAAAATTTTGTGAGGAAACCAAAGATCCGTATCCTTCTATTTCGCTCTTCTTTATCCCAATGTAAGTTGCCTGCTTTGCCTCTGAGCAGATTAACTGCTGCTGGTCTTCTTGTCCACAGTGTGGAAGTTTGGTTTTGCTTATTAACCTCTCTCTCTTTTTAAACATTATAAAATATTGAATAGAGATGCTGTAAGCTATTAGGATTTATGATACAGTGGGTATTCTTGTACTTTCACCCAGTTAAAGAAAACAAAATTACAATTATCTTTGAAATTCTTTGAATGCCCTTCATCTCCCACTCTTCCCTCTCCCATCAGAGGTAATAATTATCCTCGAGTTTGGACTTTTTTTTTGTTTTTAAAGCTTTATTGCAGCCGGGCGCGGTGGCTTACGCCTGTAATCCCAGCACTGTGGGAGGCTGAGGCGGGTGGATCACCTGAGGTCGGGAGTTCGAGACCAGCCTGACCAACATGGAGAAACCCTGTCTCTACTAAAAATACACAATTGGGCCAGGCATGGTGGCTCATGCCTATAATCCCAGCACTTTAGGAGTCTGAGGCGGGCAGATCACCTGAGGTTGGGAGTTCGAGACCAGCCTGACCAACACGGAGAAACCCCGTCTCTACTAAAAGTACAAAATTAGCCGGGCATGATGATGGATGCCTGTAATCCCAGCTACTCAGGAGGCTGAGGCAAGAGAATCGCTTGAATTCAGGAGGCAGAGGTTGCGGTGAGCGAAGATTGCGCCATTGCACTCCAGCCTGAGCAACAAGAGCAAAACTCCATATCAAAAAAAGAAAAAAGCTTTATTGCATATTTCTCCCTAAATGATACATTAATTTTATATCCTTTTGAAACTTTATGTAAGTGGAAAGTTTATATAAGAATGTGTGCATGTGTTTATTTTTTTGCTTGTGCTACTTACATTTTTTTTAAGCTCAGCATTCTTGAGTTTCATCTATGATGACAGTATCCTATTGTATAGCAGTACCTCAATTTACTCATTCTCCTGTTTGTGGCCATTGTGGCTGTTATTTTGCTATTACACAGTGCTACCATGAATATTTTTATTCATGTTTTTAAATGTACAGGTACAATTTCTCTAGGGTATGTGCCTAAGAGTGGAATTGCTGAGTTATAGGAAATGCACATCTTCAGCTTTACTAGGTAATGCCAATTCCAAAAGTGATTGTACAGATTTGTAGTCCTGTCATTAGAATATAAGAATTCAAGTTACATTTTATTTTTGTCATTTATTCATTCCAGAAATATTTATAGGACACTATAGCAGTAAATAAAAAGGTAAAATGCCCTGCTCTCAGGGAGTTTATATTTTAGTGGAGAAAAATAGCCAAAATAAATACTGTAGCAAAATGGTACCTGTTTTATGTGAAAAAAAATAAAGCAAGCGTAGTACTTGTTATTGCATTACTGATAGAGCCATATGTGGGGGGATTTGAGGCTAAGGGGATGGGATATAACCAAGAAGTCCTGTGTTTCAGGTGGTGATTGACATGAACAGAGATGTAGGTGTGAGATTGATCCTGATGCTTTCAAGCAGATAATGGTAGTGAAGCTGTGAGTGTTGGGGTGGGGATGGGGGTTAGGAATCTTGCCAGGAGCATTTTCCCAGGCCCCTCTCTTCACTTCTACTCATCCAGTAGCTCTAAGGCTAAAGAATGAGTGAGGAAGCTGGTACTGGGTGGTATTATTCTGAGCATTTGGAGTTCTGGGACCCCCTATTGGCTCTTACCTACAGAGGTTTAAAGGACCAGGAGAGGAGGGAAGACTTGTCTGGAACATATGGAACAGTGGAGTTCTCTTGATACAGGAATACTTGGAATTCTAGTGCTTGTTTGATTACTGAAGTTGGAAAACTGAAGGTTAGTGAATGGATGGAATTATTCTGAGCACTTGGAGCTTTAGGGCTTTCTCTTGACTCCTAGTGGAGTCCTCTGGGAGGAGTGGTTTTTCCTATAGTATGTGGAACCCCCTTTGTCAAACTTGTTAGTTTTTGTAGTGTGGTAGATATGAAATAGTATCTTGCTGATACTACAGTGGTATCTTATTGGATTTACTTGATTTCACTCTAAAAATCCAAAATCTGATCAATTAAATGTCAGACTTTTTATATTTTATCGTATGTGTTTATTGGGCTCCACCAGTGTGGGAGTTTTATTTGTCATCTCTCTGTACCATGACTAGAGACCCAAAATTTAATTTAGTAGCTGAAGCTTTTACTCTGGTAGCTCTTGTCAACAGACCCTCACAGAAATCTATTATGCCCTGTGCTATCATCACCAAGTATGTAGTCATTGAGTTGGAAACCCAACCTTTTGTCTGCTCTGCCTGAGGAACTGAATTAGTAGCCTTCACCCGTACATTGCTACCTAACCTCAGAAAACACATCAATATATCTACATTGACTCTATTTCACCCGTTCTGGGGCTCCCATCAAAATATGGGCCCCATGTTGTTAGAGCACTATCAGAGGCTCTTCATTTGCCTTTTAAATTTACCATTTTAAAATCTGAGAATCACAGCTATTACTTCTGTAAGGAAAGTGCTTTGGCTTACCACAACTAAGGCTGTAATTCCTTCTGTTTTTCAGGCCAAATGTTTATATTTTAACTCATGCGCTCCCCAGTGTATCTTACTACTCTCACAGGATCAAGTCTCAGAATTTACAAAAAGAACATTGGAGAAAGGCATGGTATATATAGTACCCTGATAATCTGTGACACTCTCTAGGTGGCCTTCTAGTTGCTCCATACATCGTACTGTCCTACCTTATTTACATGCTACATTCGGTGTCATGAAGGAGTGCAAAGATGATGATAACATCTGCAAATTCCAACTGATTTACTCTATGCATTTTCCAAGAATAGCTCAGGACTATTGCTCAAGGCTATGCCTTACTTGCCTTCTCAGACTGACACGGTGTATAAACCAATAAAACTAGATGGTGAGCAGCTGGGCATGGTGGCTCACTCCTGTAGTCCCAGCACTTTGGGAGGCCAAGGTGGGCAGATCACCTGAGGTTGGAAATTCGAGACCAGCCTGACCAACATGGAGAAACCCTGTCTCTACTAAAAATACAAAATTAGCCGGGTGTGGTGGCGCATGCCTGTAATTCCGGCTACTCGGGAGGCTGAAGTAGGAGAATCGCTTGAACCCAGGAGGTGGAGGTTGCAGTGAGCCAAGATTTTGCCATTGCACTCCAACCTGGGCAACAAGAATGAAACTCTGTCTCAAAAAGAAAAAAAAAAAACCTAACAACAACAACAACAAAAAACCAACTAGATGGTGAGCAATGAGACCTGTCCCTCTTGATTTTTGACTTTTTTTTTTTTAAGCCTTCAAAAGGATTTCATCCAACTGCCTATGGTTAGCTTTTAAGAATATTATCTAAAAACTGTGTACACTTTTTTCTTTTTTCTTTTTTGGATGGATTGAAACCTATTATCGAAAGGCTGTCATTGTTAATGTTATCCCATACATTATGGAGATACCATAAGTGGCACCTGTTTCACAGAAGAGATGTATAAGTAAGAGATTGCTAAGTTTTACCAGGTTAGATATGATTATACAGACCTTATTATTCCCAAGGTACACATGGAGTAAAGAAGAAATACAGTCCTAGAAAATTAAGCTAGTCCTAGTATAAATGATCCAGAATTCTTCCTGGTGCCAACATATCAGTTGGTTTGAACCCATGTTAAATAGTCATGGGAAAACCCATGAGACATTTCTTATCTGCCTTAACTAACCTGAATAATTTCCAAATGCATGTTTCTAATAATAATGTGAACAACTGCAAAACCTGTGAGTCGTCTGAAGTTTTATCATTTACAGGTATGTGACGCATTCCCAGACTCTCCAGCCAACTGAGCATCAGCTCCTTCACGGCAACTGGGTCCTGATTAATGTCCTCCCAAGACAGACTTCATTGGATCCACACTCAAGAGGACTCTGCCAGGTTTTTCTGACCCCTCTACATTGCTATAAGGTGCCAAGGCCTTAAGACTTGGGTACGTGTATTACAACAGCAAGAGTGCCAGCGCCAACAAAAGACCCATTGGACCTGTCAGCTCCTCTGTTTCACCAACCAGACACAGTAACCTTACCAACAAAGAGTAAGCCAAGTGCCTCTGTATGACACCACCAGCAGCTGATAACGCATACGAAAAATATAACTAATTTAGACTAGAGCCCTATCTCTTCTTGAGAAGCTGGGATTTGAAGGAGCTATCCTGAGATCTGTACTGCTAGTAAGTGACTGATAACATTAGAAACTGGATCGGTCCCTGAGTTCAGAGACTGAGTTGCAATTGAGTGAAAAATAGACAACGAAATCTTGAAGAATTGTACTGAGGTGCAAGCCAAGTTTATTTGGCTCTCCAAATAATATTGGTCGAACTAAGAAATTGGTAATCCAAACCTGTAATAGGACTGGTGTTTGGGTGTCTCTCTTTGTCTTTGTTGCCTCTTGCTGTTACATTGCTGTCTGTGTTGTCTTTCTAGGTCCAAATGTTTTCAGATAATTCACATTGCCCTGATTGTGGACAACAGTGGTTCCCTAGTTTAGAACTAGGCCACTGGTTGTACCAAACTGAACTTGTTGAAAATGAATGTTACCAGGTATTCTTAGACCGTATTAACAGAGCTGATTATTGCCCTGAGTGTTATCCCGATAATCCTGCTAATAGAAGCCTTGTTCTTCCTTGGTCTTTCCCACTTGAGTGGGCTCCCCAGAATCTCACCAGATGGACCTTTGAGAAGGCTTGCCACCCATTTCTTCTGGGTCCTCCACTGGTTAGAAAAAGAATACATGACTCTCGAGTAGCTGGTTTTAACCCTGCATTACAGTTAATCTTGACCAGAACAGATAAAACCTTAAACAAAAAACTGGGTCAAAACAAATAGCTTCTATAATAGTCAAAATTGTCAACTCTAGAGGCTTTTGTGTAGGTAGCCCAAGGAAGATGGAAAAATAATTAATTTCTAAGTCTGACCCAGATTGTCACTAGTTTGGGAACTGCTTAAATTGTTGGATCTGCTTCTGTGGCCTATACATATTTTATTCACTATGAATTTAGTTAGTATTCTAGCCAGACTGTTCATCTAGACTGAGATACACACACACACACACACATATATAATAATTCATATTTCCTATAAACTGTTTTGGAACTAACTTACCACTCCTAAAAAAATTTCTGCAGCCTAATGAGTGACATATGACGAAGTAGTCCTAGAGGGGAAGTCCCATACTGTGTGCTTCTTAATGGTATTTCTAATGATAACTTTTGTAGGAAAGCAGCCTCATTATAGCTGGATCCTAGATTAGTCCAGTGAATTTTAATAAGAAATTATGCTGTTGTAAACTCACCTCGTACTCATTGGTCAGCGATGATATATATATAGATAACATTTATCCATATATAGCCATTTATTCATCATTGGCCCTGTCTGGCCCATCCTCAGTGTGGCTGTGACATTATTGATAACTGGTCACTCAGATAAATCACGTTCTATTAGGAAACACCTACATAGGTGATGCAGAAACATGCAGAAATGCCACCTGTCTATACTTACGTGGCTTTACATAAACAAAAGACTGTCTTGTCTTTGTGGTGACTGAATTTACAATGTCCTCCCCTGGAAATGGAAAAGTACCTATCTAGGAGATGTATGACAAAAGAAATTATCAAGCCTGACTTCATATATATTATGAACAGTCTAGGGGAAGCATCTTTCTTAGAACTAAGGTCTGCTGAACATTGGCCACATTCTGGACTTCTATTGTTCATTAAAATCATGGACCCAGAGTTGGGGTTAAGCCACTTAGAAAAAGCTGTTGAAAACATCTCAAAGGCCACTGAACAATTTTTAAATTATACTTAACATGCCAGGTATCTAGGTATCTAGTGCTTTTGTACCACCTCAGTAATATTATCAAGGTCCCAGCTTCTTTCTGTCCTTCCCCCTTGGGATCCTCTTTTTTTTTTTTTTTTTTTAATTGCTTTTCTAAAAGTAGTGACCGAGTCTTGCTATATGGCCCAGGCTGGTTTCCAACTCCTAGGCTCAAGCCGTCCTCCTACCTCGGTCTCCCAAGGTGCTGGGATTACAGGCGTGAGCCACCCCACCCGGCCTAGGATCCATGTTTGCTTTTTATCGTTAGGATTTTTTTTTCCCAATGAGTACAATATGACTTCTTGTTGTAACAGACATTTTAATCCCTAGGAAAGGCTGGAAGTAGAGAGCAAAAGTCTTTCAAGTCTGTCTTTTATTTGGAAATCAAGTCTTTCCAAAAAATCTCTAGCAGATTTCTTCTTATATCTCATTATAAAGTATCAGTTTACAAGGGAGCCTGGGAAAGCTTGGCAAAGGGGAATAGGGTTATCATTGCCTGGGTAGGGCACGTTGCCTCCATTGAAAAAATCAGGGCTCTTTTTTTTTTTGTTTTTTTGACAGAGTCTCGCTGTCTCGCCCAGGATGGAGTGCAGTGGCATGATCTCGGCTTACTGCAACCTTTGCCTCCTAGGTTCAAGCGATTCTCCTGCCTCAGCCTCCTGAGTAGCGGGGATTACAGGTGCCCGCCACCACACCTGGCTAATTTTTGTGTTTTTAGTACAGACGGGGTTTCACCATGTTGGCCAGGCTGGTCTTGAACTCCTGACCTCAGATGATCTGCCTGCCCTGGTTTCCGACAGTGCTGGGATTACAGGTGTAGCCACCGTGCCCGACCAGGGCTCTTTTAGCAAGGAAACCGTGAGGAATGAATGGCTATTGGTGTGCAGCAAATCATACTTGCTACGTGTTGTGAAACCTGAAGTTATTTGTTAGTCTGTATGAAGAATGTACCCCAGAGATGTACCCTGTATCTGCCTTATGTCTCTTACAATGGAGGTTCTCTCCTGTTATATTGCTGAATAAACTACGTGAACTACTAAATTGACTGAAGACTAGTTAGTTTATCACTAACTCTTTAATGAAGAATTTCACTATCCTACAGTTCTTCCTAAAAAGTGAAAATTTACTTTAAGTGTTTTTAAGAATAGTATTATGATCAGTATTATTGCCCCTAAATTTTTTAATTATTAGAGAATGCTTATGTTGTAAGGACATATACAAAGAAACATTCTACAAATATGAAAATTTAAATATCAGCAAAACAGAGAAAAGGTCTTTGTTTTTGTTTTAGTCAATCTCTCCATTAAATAGTAAGATCAGATTAAAAGGATTTATACCATCGATTTCTCAAATCAATACCTAAACAGTATCTGTGAGAGCTTGTTTAAAAATGGAGATTTCTTGGTCTGCTTTAGAAATTTTGATTCCTCAGGTTGCTTGTAGGGCCCAGGAATCTGCATATTATAAAAAACACCTCATGCTGAGTGCAGTGGCGTGTACCTGTTACCACGGCTACTTCAGAGGTTGAGGCAGCAGGATCACTTGAGCCCAGGAGTTCAAGACCAGCCTGAGCAAGATAGTGAGACCCCTGTCTTTTTCAAAAAAAACAACAAAAAGATATAAATAGTACCTTTGGAGATTCTGACGCAGGTGCTCTCTGGACCATACTTTGAGAAATGCTGTAGTAATACGTCCATAGTGTTTACTTATCTGGCTTAAAAGGGTGGGAGCAGAGTACTCATAATACTGCAAGATAGTACCATTTATTTGGTAATACTGGTAATGTAAAAAGAGGTTTCATGTCAGACTGAAGATTACTCTTGATAATTTAGGTCATAACTGAGCCACATTTTTCTCATTAATTAATCAGGAATGTTTCTGTCCTCTTCACAAACAGTTTTGTTTGGTGTCATTATAAACTATGTGAATATATGGGCCAGAAAAATGAATAAAAAATATTAATTTTAATATTAAGAGGGTTACTTTGCCTTCAAACATTATCACATACCTGTTATATGGTAAGCTGTCAGAAATCAACATCATGTAGTAGAGCTCATAAAATTGAGCAAAGGAGAAAATTGAGGAAGCCTTTGAATAAAGCTTTTCACCTTAGGTCTTTCTAGTATGTCTTCATACGGCTTAAAATATTGCAGGTTATTCTAAAATACTCTATAGTTGATATGAATAATGAATTTTATTAAAACACAAATGCTGTGTTGGTAAAATTAATTGTAATGACAAATGATCTGGAGGGTTATCCAGTGTTTTAAATAGTGTGAGCTACACTCGTCTCTATTTTTATAGCGTGGAAGAATTGGTAATATTGCTTATATGTTATGGTAGCATTTCTAAAATGACCATTATAACTAGTTCCTGTTATTTTATGGCAGACCTGGTAGTGGAAAGGTTAATGGAAACATGCAAGGGCAGACTGGAAAGAAAATATATCCACCAAAGAGGTAGCTGTCGGGGGATGTGAGTGAGTGAGGTAAGATTCGTCTCTGAGTCACAGGTGAAGGAAGCCCAGGCAAACAAGAAGGCAGAAATGAGTCCATGGCATCCAAAGAATATGTTGCAGTCCACATGTCATAGCTGTCTGTAAAAGTGAGATGAGCTGTAGCCCTTTCATCTCTCCAGTCTCCCTGGCAACCCTGAGTCTCCATGGAATTTTGGGGACACAGCTTGAAAATTGCTTTTTATAGAGGCAAAATAATGGCCTTGCAGCCAGCTGGGTGTGTATTCTAATTCTGACACTATTAAATGACCTTAGGCATTTTAACCTCTCTGTATCTAGTTTCTTCATCTGTGAAAAAGGTTGTGTAATAATACCCACCTCATACTGTTGTGAGGTGTAAGTGCAATAACATATACCAAACATATGGCACATACTAAATCTTCAGGACAAGGAAAGATGTAGGGCAAGAAAGCAAAAGCAGAAGTTATAACTGGGGAATAATGTAGAGTCTTACTTGTTTTGTTTTGTTTTTGAGAGAGTCTCGTTTTGTCACCTAGGCTGGAGTGCAGTAGCACCTTCATGGCTCACTGCAGCCTTGACCTTCTGGGGTCAAGTGATCCTCCCACTTCAGCCCCCTAAGTAGCTGTGACTACAGGTTTGCACCACCACACCCAGCTAATTTTTGTATTTTTGTAGAGATGGAGTATCGCCATGTTGCCCAGACTGGTCTTGAACTCCTGGCTTCAAGCAGTTCGCTCACCTCGGCCTCCCGAAGTGCTGGGATTATAGGCATGAACCACCATTTCCACCGAGTCTTAGTTTTAGAACAAGGATTAAAGCCAATTGTTTCAACTGATGCTGAATTATTATAAACTTATTGGCTGGTGGCTCACACATGTAATCCCAGCACTTTGGGAGGTTGAGGCAGGAGGATGGCTTGAGTCCAGGAGTTCAAAACAAGCCTGAGCTATAGTGAGACCCCCCAACTCTACAAAAAAGTTTTAAAAATAAAAAAAATTAGCTGGATGTGGTGGCATGTGCCTGTAGTCCCAGCAACTCAGTAGGCTGAGTTGGGAGGATCATTTGAGCCTCAGTGAGCTATGAGTTTGAGGCTGCAGTGAGCTATGATGGTACTACTACCCTCCAGCCTGGGCAACAGAGTGAGGCCCTGTATCTAAAAACAAAAACAAAAAACTTCTTAAATCTCTCCTGATGAAGGACAAGATTGGTTTTGGGATGAGGTTGAGCCTGTGGCATAAGTCAAATGGTCTTAGGTGTAAAGATTAAAAGGCCTGGAGGGATGGATGACCCAAGGCAGATTTTTGTCACAGTGTTTAGGCCCATTTTATAATCTTAATTATGGTAGATATAATTGCTATATGTTTTATATCACCTGAGACTTTCCAAAACACTGAAATAAATTCCTGAAGTGGCAGGTCCCTGAAAAGGAAAAAGAAAAGAAATAGAGAAAAGTTGAAGGATATATACAAATTCACTCAGGTCATATGTGCTAGAGTCACAATTCAAACCTAGATTTAAGTATTCCAGAGTCAAGGTGCTTGTGGTATGCTTAATACAAGTTTTTTAAAGTGTCATTGTTAGGTCCCACAGCTAGACTACCTGAGTTCAAATCCTGACTGCCCTCAGTAGTCACATGTTCTTGGGTAAGGTTCTTAACTTTTCTTTATCTCAGTTTCCTCATCTCTAAAATAGTAGGAATATTAGTAGTCTACACCTCATAAGATTGTGGTGAAGATTAAATGAG